CGTAACACCTGGGCTTGGGGCCGCGAGCCCGAGGACAAGAAGCCCTCTCTGGGCATTCACGGCGAGAATCAAGTCAAGTCCAAGCATCACTCCCTCGGCGAGCGCTTTCTCTCCATGTCGCCCTCTCCCGGTGTCGGCGCCAGTGGTGAGGATGTTCTCCCGAAGATGATGTTCACCGATAACGACACCAACTTTGAGACTCTGTACAAGCAAGAAAATAAGACTCCCTACGTCAAGGACGCCTTCCACAAGTACATCGTTGATGGCGAGAAGAAGGCCATCAACCCCGCTCAGACCGGTACCAAAGCCGCCGCTTGGTTCAACTTCAACGAGGACGGCGGTGTCAATCCTGGCGAGTGCGCCGTGGTCCGTTTCCGATTCTCCAAGAAGGACTTGCCCTACTTCGATGAGGGTGAATTCGACGATATTATGGATCAGCGTGTGGCCGATGCCGACGACTTCTACTACAGAATCAGCCCGCTGCCCATGGCTGATGATTTGCGCAACATCCAGCGCCAGGCCTTCTCCGGCATGATGTGGACCAAGCAGCACTATCTGTTCATCTGGGACCAGTGGGCAAACGGCGATCCTACGCAGCCGCCTCCCCCGCCGGGCCGGAAAGCCGTCAGAAACTCCCAGTGGAAACACATGCACTGCGATGATATTCTCTCGATGCCCGATTCGTGGGAGTACCCGTTCTTCGCTGCTTGGGATAGTGCCTTCCACTGTATCCCGTTGGCTATGATCGATCCCGACTTTGCGAAGAAGCAGCTCGATCTCTTCACTCGCGAGTGGTACTGCCATCCCAATGGACAACTCCCTGCGTAAGTCCGATTACCCATCCAACCTCCGCAAGATCTGTCTCTAACCGCTTGCAGGTATGAGTGGAACTTTGGTGATGTGAACCCGCCTGTCCATGCCTGGGCCACTTTCCGTACCTTCAAGATTGAGCGTAAGCTGTACGGCCGTCAGGATCTCGACTTCCTGGAGCGTGTCTTCCAGAAGCTGCTTCTGAACTTCACCTGGTGGGTGAACCGCAAGGATTCCGAGGGCAAGAATGTTTTTGAGGGAGGCTTCCTCGGCCTCGACAACATCGGTCTGTTCAACAGGTCTGAGCCTCTGCCGACAGGCGGTTCCCTCGAGCAGGCGGACAGTACTGGCTGGATGGCGTTCTACTGCCTGAGCATGCTGAACATTGCCCTTGAGCTGGCGAAGCACAGGCGGACATATGAGGACATTGCGTCCAAGTTCTTCGAGCACTTCATCTTCATCAGTGATGCCATGACTTTCAGGACAGGCGACAAGGACGAGAAGTCGCTCTGGAACGATGAGGATGGTTTCTACTACGATGCCATCTCATGGGGTGGTCCCTGGATTCAGCAACTGCCGGTTCGCTCGCTCGTCGGTCTCATCCCCCTTTACGCAACGATGACGTTGGAGCCGGAGCTCATTAACAAACTCCCATCTTTCAAGAAGCGTGTCGATTGGTTCATCGAGAATCGTCCCGACATGGCGGAGCGGAACATGGCCAGTTTGCAAAAGCGTGGCAAGGGCAACAGGATCCTTCTGTCGATTGTTAGCAAGGACAGGTTGGAGAAGATTCTCCACCGCATGCTTGATGAGGACGAGTTTTTCAGCGAGCACGGCATCCGCTCCCTGTCCAAATACCACAAGGAGAACCCCTTCTCCATGGACGTCAACGGACAGAAGTTCTCTGTCGGCTACGTCCCTGGCGACTCCGACAGTGGTCTCTTTGGTGGCAACAGTAACTGGAGAGGCCCTATCTGGCTCTGCGTCAACTTCTTGCTTGTCGAGTCGCTGCAGCGTTTCTTCCTCTTCTATGGCCACGAGTTCCAGGTTGAGTGTCCTACCGGTAGCGGTGACTTCATGCACCTGGGTCACGTCTCTGAGGAGATCCAACATCGTCTGCAGCATCTCATGACCCGCAACGACGATGGCCGCAGAAGCATCAATGACGGCAATGACACGCTAGACTTTGATCCCCACTGGAGGGACTACCTTTGGTTCTACGAGTTCTTTGATGGTGACTCTGGCCGCGGCCTCGGAGCTACGCACCAGTGTGGCTGGACTGGACTGATGGCGCGCATGATTCACGACACAGGGTAAGTCTCATTGCTGTGACCTCATCAGGCAAGTACTAACGAGTACATAGAACCAACTGCCGTCTGCCACACACCCCACGCACCCCCTCTGTGGGCATGGCGCACTACTTTGATGATGTTTTCACACGGAACACAGGCCGTCGCGGATCTGTGCATTCGATTCGTGGTATTCGCCGATCCTCTACGGCACGATCTATTGACGCAAGGAGTGACTTTGACAACGATATCAATGGCGACGACTCTCTCGGCAACTCGACTCATGACCTCGAACGTGAGCGTGAAACGGCTGAGGCCGACCAGCACATGCACCAGTACATCAACAGCCAGCTGGAGCGGTTCCGTGACGACAAGGGAGGAGCCACCGACTCGCAGCATGATGAGTATGAGGCAACTCCCTGATGACAGCCATGGTGGCATTTTTCTATTTCTGTTACGCATCTCTTTGCATGGGTTCTTGGGATGAGAGAGAGATGAGAACCAAAGTCTGCTTGCACTGTTGGGTCATAGAAAAAGCATCCGGTGGGTAGAGTTGCGATTGCAGAATGGACGTCATTACAGAACGAAGCCTAGAGGAGAAGAAGCATATATAATAATCATCGTACAAAGGCCATCTATCCACCGCAAGGTGCCGTCATTCGTGTCCTACAAAACCAGCAGCTTACATTATGGCCGAGACTATGCCACGGTATTAAGGGTCAGAGGCCACGCAACGGTAGCAAAGGGGAGCCCTTTAACTAGACGTCGTCATCCAGCAAACGATATCTTTGTCGACATTTCGTAACTGATGCGAGACCTCGGACGTGACAGCCGATCTCCCCTTCTCAGGGCTGCCTGAGGCAGATCTTAAGCACCGTGAAGGAAAGTGCCTCAGCAAAGAAGCGGCCAGACGTGGAGCACACAGTAGAAATCAGCACGTCGGACGAGAAACAGCCATGGGCTGTAGGAAATGCGTGCTTCTACCACAAACTACTACATATGCACAATGCCGCCCTCCAGCGTCCAGGCAGCGCAGGCCCGACACGCCGGCTGACGGGGGGGGGTGGGCGATCCTCTCATCGTGGACCCCGGGACCTGCTCGACGCATACCGCGGCCTGACTCATGATTCCCGGTACGTCGAGGGTGGGAAGGAGGAACCATGTTTTTCTTTGACGCTGGTGCCTCTTTACCCCCTTCCTTCCGCGCCCGCGTCTCCCATTACCGGCGAAACACACAAAATAAAGTTGGTTGGGTTAAGGGGGTGGTACGTGGTGGTGGTTTTACAGGTTGTCCGTGAGGAGCTTGTTCATCTTGGCGATCTTGGAGGAGACGCTGAGATCGATGGTACGGTCGCCGACCTCGACGATGAGACCGCCGACAATCTCGGGGTGACCTGGGACCAGTGTTAGATTCTTGGTTTGTCGTGACGGCGACGGCATGCGCAAGGAGGGATGCATCCGGGGCCGTGACCGGCGACATGGGTGCATCCGACTGCGTAGAGGGATCTCTGTCTTGGTGACGTGACGTACCTGGTTGGTGACCTTGAGCTTCTTGCCCTGGCCGACGTAGGGGGACTTGGCGACGGCGGTCTCGAGGCGGTTGAGGGTCTTGCTGTCGAGTTTGCTGCTGCCCGTCAGTGTCGCGTTCGGAGAAGGAAATTTTTGGGGTCGACTTCAACATGGGCAGCGCGAGCGCCGAAAAGAGACGACCCCGGACATGGTAGGGGAGGAGTGAAAACGAGAGAATAATCGGACATACCTGAGCAGAGGTGACAATCAGCTCAACCCCGCCCTTGGCGGCGGCGATGAGCTCGGCGAACTTCTCGCAGACGCCGGGCAGGATGCCGAGGCGGTTGTTCTCGGCGAGGGCGGCGAGGAAGTTGCTGACGGTGTCGTTTGCACGCCGGCCTGCTTCTTGAGCTCGGGCGGACAATGGCGACTTTTCGTCGGCCTGAGGGTGGAGCGTCGAGGATGCGATGAGCTTCTCGTCCTTCTGAGGATGACTTGGAGCTGCGTCAGGGCCTTGGCGGTAGGGTCGATGGACGACGTCTTGACGGCCGCGGTGTTACTATTGTGCTCAAAACGTTAGTCGTCAAATGGTTTTACTCTCCTTTCGTCGTCGTCTTGGGAGGGGGGGGGGGGTGGTTAAACGCTTGCAGCGCAGGGTCCCGCGGCGCCGCGGCTTCGAGGCCCCAATTGACCTGAGCAGTCGAGGCCGCACCGAGTTTCGGACAGCAAGAGGAGAATGGGCAATCGTACCAGGGCCGTGGCGTAGGTGCCGTCGATACCGAAGACGGAGATGGGGGGCGTGACCATCTCGGACGAGGACGCGGCGGCAGCGTATGTGCGGCGAGCGGCGAGCGGCCTGGCGACCGGGGCTGACGCACGGAAGGCGCGGAGGACTTGTCTCGACAGCATGACAGCGGTATTGAGAGGGGGCGGTGGGTTGATGGAGGGTGGGCTTTTCGAGGGTCGGAGAGGATGGGGGTCGTGGGCAGCTTTCGCGGTTTTCCAAGGTTGAGGTTTCAATTCGGCAATGGGGAGAATGGATGCCTGATCCTGTCCGACCCGATGTGAGGCATCGACTTGCCAAGGCAAGGGAGATTTAGACCATGGTCACTGGCAGCCGGCTGGCAGTAGCTGTTGCCAAGTGTCGCTCTCTCCACCTGCTATTTGCCCTGGCGCTCTGCTTTTTGGTGGTGCTCATCACTCCCTCTTTCTTGTCATGGGGTTACGGTCTGACGAACAGTGCATCGTTGCCCAGCATGCATTCGATAGCCGCTGACGAAGTGAAAAAAGTAAAAAGGTACAGTGTTATCACAATTGCGCCTGAATTGAGACCAACCCAAATGCCTGCACCATGCCGGCTGATCCCAAACCATGTCTTCATTACAGTCGACGCGACGAACAACACCCAACGCCCCAAAGCAGCCAAAGACCCATCCCTCTAATTCATGTCGCATCCCGTCTCTCATTTGATCTCGTCTTGCCATTGTGCTCTCCGACTCCGACCTCCATGCAGCACGCTCAGTCGCTCTCAATCATCTTCGCGGCGAGGTCACTAAGCGGGCCATAAAAGTCCTTACCCGAGTCCAGCTTGTGCTCGTCCACAAAGAGCACGTACTGCTTGAAGCTCGTATTGAGGTGCGGCTCGAGCCCCAGCTCGCGGATGACGGCGTAGTGGTGGCAGTAAATGTGCGCGTAGACACGGTACATGCGCTTGAAAATCTGACGCACCAGCGACGGGAAGCTCTTGGGGAAAGGGACGCCTGCGCAACGTTAGCGGCCATGCCATCTCCTGAAGAGCACAGGGCGGGGGGCTCTCACCGATCCGACTGGGGAGGATGCTCTCATTGTCGATGGTGCTCTGGACCCACGTCATCAGGTGGTTGATGTAGTCGGGCGCCGACATCTTAGTCGGCTTCTTGTAGTTTTCGTTGTCCTGCCACAGGTACTCGAACTCGTCTGTTGCCTTCATCGGAAAGCACGACTCGGGCGAGCAGAACTCGGTGATGGCTCCGTAGAGGAGGTTGATCTGGTTGTAAAAGTCGACCACTGTTGGGACAGCTGTCAGCCGCGCTCGCCTCGCGCTCTTCCAGTATAAGGCAACCTGGACGCACTGTTGACCGCAAGCCACTCATCCTCGTCCTCTCCTTCGGGGAGCTTCACGGCCTTGCGCAGACTGCCGCCACCCAGGGTCGCCTCGGCATACTGTCGTAGGGCGAGGCCATTGTTCGGGCCACCTCGAATGGTGGCTCGTTGGCGGGCTTTCCTCGCGTTTCTGTCGTCGTGAATCCTGTCAGCGTCCACTATCAAGACGGGCTCTGGACACTGCAGGTCCGGGGCTTCGATGATGGTTTCCTCTTCCTCGTAGAAGGCAGGCGGGGCATCAGGCACTGCTGGCGGGATGGGCATCAGCCCCGTCCGCGCGCTGAGGTATTGAAGAAAGGTCATGTTGGCGCTGCTGGAGTGGTACTGACATGGTGTGAACGGGAAGGCTCATGACGCCGGCGGTCGTGGTGCAGCGGTCGAATGTGATGTTGTCGTGCGGAAGGGGGGGGGTGTTCGAATGGCTGCTCATTCCAGTGGTTAGCCAGGCGATTGATGTTCCAGGTCAGCGCTAGTCTCGTACCTCTGGAATAGCAATATCCTTTACTGACAGCAGTCGAGGGAGTAAGTTGGCTTTGAGAATGCGGTGGCGCCGTATTGGGAAATGCTGTCGAGTAAGTGATGCGAGTTGGGAATATTGCGACTTGTCGTCCTGCGGTCAAGGTCGGGCAGAGAGAGGAGTGGAGGGGCAAGGGAGCCATGTTTACAGTGTTTCCTAATTGGCTTGGTTGCTGGGGCCGCTTCCTCCAAGCCACGGCATGCTACAGTGATGTGGCTGCCCCGACTTTTTGTGGGGGTGGCGCTGACAACAAGGACTACATCGTACCTGGCTTGCTGGGCACCTCGCCTTCACCTTCACAGAGAAGCGGCCAGGACAGATGCTCAAAAGATGCAAGTCATCGGCCCTGGCAAGACTTGCATATGAACACACCTCTTCTCAAATCCCGCCCACTACAGCATCTCCCCAGAGGATGAAATCGAAGACACGACTTGATGGTGCGTCGAGCCATGCCTTCTCGAGCGTCTTCTATACCAGGCCTGTGACATGCAGGTTGGGATGAGAAGGCGCAGAGGACGAATAAATCGGCTGAAAGCAGAAGTAGACATGTTGCCTGTCATCACTTATAGATCTTGGAACAGCGGCCTGGTAAGATCGACGGCATTCATATACCCGCTTAGCCGCGTTGTACATCGCAATCCAGTGACTACTCGTCATCCCCGCAGTCCTCCCAACAGCCGATATTGCCGAAGCACATCTCCAATGCGCTCAATTCACGAAAGCAAGGTACATTGAATGGTTGCGTATGAGCACCAAGCTATCCAGCTCCAACCAACTGTTGATGTGCAGACTCTTGATCCTGTGATAGCATCCTGTGACAGCATCCATGTCACCCATGTCACCACGCTTTCGCCGCCTTGGTTTCTTGGCTGACACATCATCACCTACGCGCAACGCAGTTGGACCGCCGGCTCAACCTTTGAATAGCCTCAATTCACGGGTGGGGAAATCCTGCACCAGTACAAGACCTAGTTGATCTTCCCCTCTTCTCTCCATATGCTCCGGGGAGAGGAGGCAATTGGGCATGAACAACATCGTTCTCGGCTCATTGTTCACCGAAAGCTGTCGATCACACCGCTAGGCACGAGCCATACGACTCAAGCCGGTTTACCACCTGTGCGGTATCGAACCGTAACGTATCATTGGCAGGGCGGATTTTGACGTGTCCGATGGGCAGCATCATAACGAGGCAATGCAAACATAAAAGCAAGAACTACGCTGCTTGTTTCAGTCGTTGCCAATTGAGTGACTTTGCTCTGCTACGAATCAGGATTGAAGTACCCGTGGATTTGCAGCTCCCCCGATCATGCGGTCATTGCATGTTTTCTCTCTGCTCTGCACTCTTGCTGCAGCTTCCAATGGGGCCAAAATAGACAGGCGCCATGTCGTGCAAACGTTCAACCCTCGCCGAAATGCGAGCTCGCCGGAGACCCCTTTGCAGGTTGGCAACGGCAACTTTGCCTTTGGCGCTGATGTGACAGGTCTACAGACGTTCAGCCCCTTTGCTACCATGTCAACATGGGGCTGGCACAACTTCAGTCTGCCAACGACACCAGGCCAAACATCCATAGACGGTACGCTTCCGCGCTTGGTGCGTGTTCGTATCGCAGTAGGCTTGACTGACACGAGATAGACTACAATGGCACAGAGTGGTGGACTCATGACCGGCTTGTCCAATACAACATGCCGAACGAAAACAACGAAGATATCGCCAACTGGCTCCGGGAGAATCCTCACCGCATCAACCTTGGCTCTATTGGCCTCTCATTTGGTGAAGATGATGTCAAAGAGGAAACGCTCCAAGCCAAATCCCAAGAGTTGGACTTATGGAACGGGGTCATCAAGTCCTCTTTCACATACCAGGGCTCTGTCGTCGAGGTTGAGACACGAGCCGACCCAGACTCGGATACCGTGGCTATCCGCATCAAGTCTGAACTTCTCTCCAAGGGCGGCCTGGGCGTCTTCTTCGATTTCCCCTATCCCGACAACAACAAGTTTGACGAACCTTTTGTAGGACTCTTCAACCAGACCGACAAGCACTCCACATCGCTGATCAGCTGTGGGAATCACGCCACGATCCATCACGATTTGGATACCTTTGAGTACGACTTGGTCCTCGAATGGAACGGCAAAGGCAAAGTCGTGGCTGCCAGCGATGGGAGCCATCGCCATACTCTCACCGTCGAAGGTTCCCGTGAGCTTGAATTGACGGCCCACTTTGCGCCCTCCAAGCCGGAACGTCGTCCTAGCTATAGTGAGATCGTGGCCGCGTCCGAGGCATGGTGGCCGGCATACTGGACGAAGGGTGCCTTTGTCGACCTCACAGCAACCGACGCAGGCGATGCGATGGAACTGCAACGACGCACGATTCTGTCTCAGTACCTTGTCGCTGTCAACAGCGCGTCCGACTACCCGCCTCAGGGTTCGCGCCACCACAACGTCCATTGGGAGACTGATTTGCTGACCGCTGCGTAGAATCCGGCCTCGTCAACAATGGCTGGTTCGGCAAGTTCCATGTAAACGTCTCACACGTCTCACACCTATCTGCGCTCCGGCTGACAAGTTGTAGATGGAAATGATCCTCTGGCACCACGTCCAGTTTGCTCGCTGGGGTCACTGGGATCTCCTCCACCGCGGTCTGCCGCACGTCTGGAACCGGCTGCTCGAAGGGGCCTTTGAGCGCGCCGCCACCCAAGGCTACGACGGCGCCCGCTGGGGCAAGATGACGGATCCGTCGACCATCGACTCGCCGGGCGAGATCAACACGCTGCTGATCTGGCAGCAGCCGCATCCGATGTACTTTGCCGAGCTCGAGTACCGCGCGTTCCCGACCAAGGAGACGCTCGACCGCTGGGCCCGGCTCCTCGACGCGTCGGCCGACTTTATGGCCTCGTACGCCTGGTTCAACGAGACGACGGGCGTGTACGACCTCGGCCCGCCCCATGTACCCATCCTCGGAGAACACGAACCCCAACGTGACGGTCAACCCGCCCTTTGAGCTCGCCTACTGGCGCTTCGGCCTCGACGTCGCGTCCGACTGGCGCCGGCGCATGGGCCGCCCGGTCCCCACCACGTGGACCACGGTCAAGGACCACCTCGCCCCGCTGCCCGTCGTCGACGGCACGTATCCCGTCTACGAGGGCGTGCCGGACATGTGGGTCGACCCGGTGACCGTGTACGACCACCCGTCCATGTCGGCGTCTACGGTCTGCTGC